GTTGGTGCGTAACCGAAACCATGAGACCCTTTTTTATGTAATTGGGACTTTGCATTTTCTTTCTATTTTTTTTTTTAAGAGAGAGTGAGAGAGGAGAGAGAGAGAGAATTTTTAATATTTATTTTTTTTTAGTTCTTGGCAGACACAACATCTTTGTTGGTATGAGGTGCTGAGGATCGAACCCGGGCTGCACGCATGCCAGGCGAGTGCGCCACCGCTTGAGCCACATCCCCAGCCCCCAAGAGACTTTGCATTTTCATGCTGATGTTCCTGACAGGAGGCATGAGCATGTTAAATGCCAAACAAATTAAATTCCAGATGGCTAGACCATAACAGGCACTTCATGCCTTGGAGGCTGTTCTACCTCCCCCCAGCACATCAAGGACAAAGGAGAAGGCTGTGCTTCTATCTCAGCACATTGTGGACAAACCTGATAAGGGACAACAGTCATCCTCTGAAAGGTCATGAGAGTTTTAGGCACCACATTGATCATATCAACTAGAACCCAAGCCCATATTTCTGGCCTCTTAGAAAACCTAATCAGTATGCTTATTTCACAAAGTTCACCACATGCAGTTTCATTTTTGATTAAGGAAAGTTATATTATACACTTAGGAAAGTTAAAACATATAAAGATATATTCCTCTCTTTTTATAAACTCTTTCTTACTTTACATTGGTGGAAAGTGGATTGATGTTTAGAACTTACTTTCTATTGAAAAAGATTATAAAGACATGAGAACCAGTGCACCTTGACTGAGAAACAAAGAAACTCTTTGAGAAAGCAGCTCAACCAGTTTTATGAGAATAAATTTAGGAATTAATTAAAACAGCTTTATAAGACACCGTTTTAGAATAATGTTAGAAATTTCATTTTATTTAGATTCTTAAGTTTAGAAATTATTAAGTTTTTAGTTGTATAGGTTTCTGATATGTTTTAAGAATGATTCATAAACTTTAGGATGTTTTAAATATAAGATTTAAAGGGACTTTTTTAGGAGGGAATTTTAGATTAGAAATAAAGTACAAGTGTACTTTAGGTAATGATTGGTTAGGAGACTTAGAGTCTGGTTACGTAGCTTGGCATTAGTTAATAGGAAAATAGCCTATCTTGGGAAAAATAGTAAATCTTGGGAAAATCTGAAAAATGTAAATTAGTGATGCATTTTATTAATGATTCTGTACTTTTAATAATTACATAACTAAAGGTCATATTCTGGAAAAATGTAAATTAATGTTACATTTTTTGTACCCCCAGTCATGGTTAAGGAAATGTCATGTCTCGGCAAAGTTTTAAATTGTATAATCAATGACGTATTGTGAATCTATAATGGTGAGAAAAATCGTAATAAAAGATGACCCAGAGAAAGCTGCATCTCTCTCTGGAGATTGCTCCAACGGAACGACTCCTGTCTCATCTTTTCGCCGACGCCACTCATCCTTCAGGACTCCCTGGACCCCGCTAGGGCAGGACCCCGGCACCTAAGGGTCACCACCCCACCGTCCCCAACACGGCAGGGACCCAGAGTCAGACGTCCACTCCCTTCTCCACGTCCACACCCTTCTCCACGTCCAC